AAACAAATGTATATAATCTGCTTAGATACACTAAGAATCTCTCATGTGAATAGCAATCCCAAAAAGTCAAAAACATAATGAAAACTGGTTCTTCCATTAGCAGCCTATTGTCTTTTCGAGACCATCAGGCACACACACAGAAAAGTATTAAAGAGGTACATGCAAACACGCACACAGATAAGTGGCTGACATGTGGTATGGACTACAAGGAGGGAGGAGTGCTGAGAGCAACAAGTGGGATAGGCTCTTGGAAACTCTGTGTCCCCGGCCAGCCAGAGTCCTTGAGAAACAGAAGTTGCTCGAAATCTGTTGGATTTGTTTGTTTGCTGTTGTTGTTTGTTTTGTTTTTTGAGCTGGAGTCTCAGTCTGTCACCCAAGCTGGAGGGCAGTGCCATGCTCCCAGCCATTGCAGCCTCGACCTGGTGGGCTCAGGCGATCCTTCCACCTCAGTCTTCCACGTAGCCAGAACTACAGGCACACGCTACCATGCCTGGCTAATTTTTTGATTTATTGTAGAGGCGAGGTCTCACCCTGTTGCCCAGGCCTACTAAGCATCAGGTATTATACTAGGTGTTAGAAACACAGAAATGGAACACACGATCTCTAACCCCAAGAAGTTCCAACAGGTTGAACTTCAAGACAGAGGTGAGCCGCAGGGAGATGAGAGGATGCAGGCAGAAGGAAACTAGGTACAAAGAATACAAAGTAAACAAGGTACAAGCACAGAAATGAGAACACACAGCAGGTGACGAGCAATGTGTGGGGATACTGAGTAGACTTGACTTCATGAAACAGAAAATTTATGCAAAAAGGAGTCAGAGAAAAGCCTGGTGGGGTAAAAAACAAAAAACAAAAAACCTATTGACTGACTTGGATGGTTAACGTGTCCAACCAATTAATGCTGTTATAACTCTGAGGATGGGCCTCATAGATGGTGTTTATGTTACAGCTAATTTCAGTAGTGGAAATAAACAAGTTGGCTCATGTCTGCGCAATTTATTATTAGGAACGTTAAGGAACAATTCCACCTCATGCCATTCTCTCTGATTACCATAATTTTCCCCAGTCATTTTTATTACCTATATAGGCCTTTGCAAAGTGCATAAAATTTATAATATGGCAAGCACCAGAAAAACAAAGAGAGCTTTATTAGGCACTTTCTTAGATTTTCTTAACAGTAATGGTTGAATATGACAGATATTTGATGAATGGTGGTGCTATCATTTGAGTGAATTAGAATGTGCTGAACAATGCTAATACAAAGCAAAAGAAGTTATTAAAGAATGCTTAGGTGGAAATGCCTGAAAAAAAAAAAATCCTCTGCAGGCCTGGGAAAATCGGCTAATAGGTAATACAGCAACACGGGGGACAGTTGCATTCCAAAGTCATTTTTTTATGATGAAAATGTTTTAATGACTCCAATTGTATTCTCTTGTTGTAGGTAAAAGCCTTTAGTATATTACAGTAAAATGTGCTCAGGGTGGAAAATTGTGTATTATCCATAGCATAAATAATTAAGAATAAACAGTATGGAGAAACCGTGGTAAGAGCCTGCCCTTCAGTGGTTCTATTTTCATAAAATAAGAAACAGATGCATCACAAGATGACCCTGAGAATCCTAGGCAGAAGTAGGAAGTAGGCCAAATATAAACCTAGCCAGGAGTCTTCAAAGCCTCACACTATCATTCCCTCGCTAGTCTAACATAGGTGAAATATACATGGGATCTGGCATCAGGCAGAGGAAAGTCAAATCCCAACGTTTCCACTGACGATCTGTGTGACCTCAGAAACCGCCTAGCCTCTCTGAATCTTCAGATGCCTACATTATAAAATCAGAATAAGAAACCTTGAAATACCCAGAGCTGTGATGAGGATGAAATAAAATTAACATGATGATGTATATAAGTTGTCTATCACAATGTTTTGCGGCCCCAAGTAAGTGTGTGATATTAATGGTAGTTACTACTGTTTTGGTGTTATTATTAGTTTACTATACTGGAAATATACCGGGTTTAAACAGAAGACCTATGTTTGAATCCCAGATCAGCTAGTAGCAAGGGTCTCTATTTCCTCACTTATAATGACACTATTATGATGACAATAATGTCTGCTTTTCCTATATCACAAGATTATAGCAAACTCTAAAAATAATACATGTGCAAACTATGAACTGTTTTTAAAAAGTATTTTATCATCTAGCGTATATATTCAAATGAAAGGAACTTAAGTAGAAAGCTATTTGCCTCCATTTAACACACCATGAATATAATACTACTCACTCTATTAGCATAAAAAAGGAATATATATATAGCTTTTCAGTAATGGTGACTACACAATTTATATAACATGACCATCTTACTGCTATGGGATAAATCTTGCAAATGTAGTAGTACATGTATCAAATTTAAAGTGCAATCCTCTAGGAAAAAATGAATATGAATAGACTATTTCCATACTAAGCCATGTAGTGAAGTCATAAACTAACTAACAATAACCCCCCTAAAAGATTAATATAGGAGCAAGCATGCTTTTTAAAAATAATCACAAAAGTGGGATGCCGTTAAAGAAAATTCTCCAAACTGCTGGGCAGTATCTAACAGAAACTGGAAGAATGTCAAAGAAGAATTAATTTTATATTTTGCACTTGCCTGACTAGAAGTCTGGGGATTCTAAGGTGACAAGTGTTACCTGTATAAGAAATTACAGAAGACCCAGAGCTCAGTGGTAGATGAACTGACCGAAGTCCAGTGAAAATTATAGCTCTCATTTTCACCAGTTTAAGCCCACCCCATCCTTGGATAGGAGCCACATAAAAATGATTTCTCTCCAACATACAGAGGAGGAGAGATGGATTTTAAATATTCTCCACCTCCATCCGATAACTGGTGATTTCAAGAGAAAAAATTTGGGTTAGAGGAAAGGCAGCCTACTAATACTATTTACCTAAACAGTATTAGAATAATTGGTTAGAAAAAAAAAGTGGATGGGGATTGCAGTGCAAGGATGGCTTTGGTCTTAAGATCTGAAAGCAAAAGTAGGCTTAAGGATTCACGATGGACACAGTACAACTCCCAACCTTCAAGCTACTCACACTGTTCTGGACTCACACGAAATAGGATTCAGCAGAATAGGATCATCTGTGATTTTTCTGCTTGATGATCAAATAACATTCACTATTTTTTCTTCCTATTTATAGTAATTATGCCTATCTGATATATTACAGTGCAAAGCCTCTTCAAAAATCAAAGAGCTCATAATAACATTAAAAAGAGTAAACTGCTAAGAAGACTTCAAGATAGGGGAGGCTATGTATCTGTGTCTATTGGGAAAAAAGGCTTAGCTAGCCTCTGAAAGAATACAACAATGCAATCATATTTTAAAAACTAGTTCAAAGATCTGCTTAGTCTCTGTGATTTTTGACATTGAGGATGAAAGCTGAAAATATTTACAAGTGAGACTGACTGGGTTTGACTTGGAAAAGAAAAAAATACAATAGAATATAGCAAAAAAGATGAAGGACAAACGGATGCACTGATATCTATAATTTTGGAATAAATAGACGCTCTTCCTTGGAAAACAGTAAAAAAAAGAAAAAAGAAAAAATTCTCTTTCAACCATGAGATGGAAAGGACTTTCAAGCTCTCAACTACCAAAGTTGTAAACAGTGTGGGTGTGAAACAGCAGTAAAGAACAACGAGACCCTGTGAAGTTTCAACAAGAGGAGTGGGTGTATGACAAAGAATAAAAATGCAAGATACAGCTACAAAAATAGAGAGGCATGCATATCCACAGGAAACAGAACATGCAATAGAGAAGTTCTAACCTGTAGTCATGTACAGAGATACCAAACTCAAAATAATGGAAATTTAACAAAAATGGAATGTCACCCAAATGCTCTAAATCAATATGTGCATGAATAAAAACAACAAAATATAGAGTCCAGGATGTAAAAATCTATGGGAAAAGAATTTCTCATGAGTTCAATTCTCCCAATGAGCAGGTGCCCCTTTGGCATGAAGGAGCAAACCCCACTGGGATTGAGGTGTAAACGAATAGAAAGTGGTTTCAGTAGAAACAGCACCAACAGAGAGGCCTGTGCCTCTTCATTTTACATTTGCTGAATGCAAAGGGCAAGGTTCTGAAGCTTAGGAAAAGCAGCCATCCCTTCAAAGCCCACACAGGCAGGGTCTAGGGTCCTCAAGGTCTTCAAAATTATTCCCTTCTGCTTGCAGTAGAGGGTCTGGTAAACACCTACTTCTCCCTTCTCTCTCTAGTCTTTCCTGGCTCAGTCTCTGGTCTCCAGTTATTTGCTTAGTATTTGCAAATAATTTATAAATCCCAGCATGGACTGTGGAGCTCCTTGGAGAAAAAAAAAATGTTATTTAGACTGTTTTACTCATGTAGGTTAAAAAACATCAAAGAAGGTTGTATCTGTAGCTCCTCAGAAAATAATCAAATGTAAACAAAAAATGAAAACTGACACCTATAATTGTATGTTTACATTTCGGAACAAAATTATGATGTATTATTAACAAATCAATACGGAAACTATTTAGAGAAAGAAGAAATCATATCTGAGGTATGTTTGAATTAAAGATGACAAAGACAAGACAAAAAGAGAGGAGATCCTGATATGACGTAGCAGATACAAAAGTTTGACCATGTGATAAAAGAGGTAACATTCCAAAGAATAAAGTCATTTTCAAGATGAAAGAGAATCTTACAGAATTGTACAGCTGAGATACATTTCTATTGCTTACATATAATATACACTTTCAGAAAAAATATAAATTCAAATATTTGAGACTGAAGCAATAGAAAATATTTTTAAAATGAAGATCAAAACTCAGATGAATTGCATGGGCAAGTGAATACAATAATATTTGGAAATACAAAGAATTATTTTGAAGAAACAGAAGGAACTATTACTATTACCAAATTTGTTATTTTACTATTTTACATGGTTTACTTTCCGACTTACATTTTCCAAATTTTCTTACCTTGGCTGACTGTTCGCCTTTTCATGCTTTCCATTGAAGTTCAAACTACAGAGGTTTTTTGATTTTGAATGTGAAGAATCTGATTCCAAATTTGCCTGTGTTTGTTCTCTCAGATGATCGTGAAGTGTTGCCTCCTTTTTCAAGTTCGTGTCTGAATACGGGCAGCCAAAAGCACTGGTTTGTATAAAAATGAGAGCACAGTTGTCAGTTTATAGTGATAAATCAGGGATCCACTGTCATCGGAAGAAACTTACATCCAATATTCAAAAACTAAATACAGACATTCTTCTCTCACTGAAAACTCAAGTAACAGTATCTTTTCATACTGTCTTTTGAGAAAAATGTCATGTTCTAGAACTATAGACATTGCATAATTCAACAAAGTCTAATGGATAGAGTCATCAACACGTATACATTTACAACTCTGGAAACAATCTAAGAAAAGCATACAGATGTGCTTCCATGAAATAATAAAATGGTCCTAAAATACTTGACTAGAAATTTATATCTGCTATTTATGCCCTGGTTTGACTACCTATATCACAAAGTATTCTGGGTAACTAAACACATTTACCAGTATTAGAGAATATTATGTTTTCATTTGTAAATTTGCATGTACCAAGAAACACTCTCACTGCATTTCCGCGTAATACTCCTGAAAAACTTGCTGGGAGTGAAGAGACACCTTGCGAGTAAGAGAGAAGAGGCCCAAGGCTGAGTGGGCTGAGTCTCTTCCGGTCCCTCACAACAGTCAAGGCTGAATCCTGAATCCTGGATGCTGTCAGAAACCAACAGCAGGCTGAAGGATCTACCAGGGCAAAAGATTTGGTTCCTCCCACAGACTGATCAGCATCTTTATTAGATTCATATACTCAAGGAGGCCCCAACCCTCTGGTGCTGCTGGAAGTGAAGCAGCTACTACCAAGAAAAACACAGACATGAGAGGTCGCCGGGACACTACTCTGGGGAAGACAGTTGTTGCCCGAGCTTCAGAGTTTCTCACCAGTGAAATAGGAAAAGCAGATCCAACACATAAGGGTTGTTGTGTCCATGAGAAATCACATACACATGCACACAGATATGCAGACATACACACAAAAACATACAAACCATGGAATGTTAGCTATTATCACCATCACAGTGTAATCATCAGCTACATCCAGGGAAGCCCATGGTCAAGTGCATCAAAAAAAGTTGGTCCTTTTTTAGGAATTCACTCCCTATTCACTGTAAATTTGCTGATACATGATACACAGTAAATTCTTTCTGAATACATAAAAATTTTCCTTTGTCATCTTAAGGTCACAATAAAATCAAGGACCAAAGCAGATCTTCCTCTATCTTAAAGTAGATTTCGTTTTCTGGGGAGGGCCTGTAAGTAATCTAACCCCAGAAAGACTTTAGTACTAACCTATATGTAGAATGGACTCTAGAATCAGAGATGGGATGGTTAAGATAATACCAGCCAGGTACAACATGATGGGATAGATTTGTACCCACATCATGGTTGACCAATAGCCTTTGCTACAGATAGCAGTGTCCCTTTACATGCATGTTCTGTAATTCATAATAATTGATATTGATCTATTGGCTTATTTATCCTTTTAAATTACTGATTCAATAATCTATTAATTAAGCATTTGCTACACACACTGGGCACTTCAGAGAATATAAATCTAGTGAAGAAAGACATATATACAAATAAATACAATTTATAATAAGAATAAAAAACCATTTAAAAAAGAATAAAAAGCAACACCTATCGAGTGAGTACTATGGGCCTATTACAATACATATGTGTTTTACATATATTATTTATAATATTTATTGCTAATTACCTAAAGATGGTATTAACATATGTATCTTACATGTAAGAAAACAGACTCCCACAGTGTAAGCAACCTTCCCAAGACCTCTTAGCACTGTCTTGGGAAACCCAAAAGTGATCACTTAATTATTACTGCCAATCAGGTGGTGGAAGTGGTACAAAGATTTTTTTAAAAACTATCAAAAAGAGGAGATGAAGGAAACCATAGCTTAATTCTTGTACAGGGAGACCCAGAGGTTGGTATTTATAGGCTATAGTAGCACTTGGTTTGCCATGGTTACTGCTTGGGGGACAGCATGCTAGCATATCCTTGAATCCTGGGATGAAGCACCATATCCAACAGCATCAGAGCGGGAGTGATCTGGTTCAGCTGTACCACACAAGATTTAAGATTTTAGAAAGAAGTTTCTGAAGGCAAAAGTTGAAAGGCATTAGGCTAACCTAAGAGAGATTGAGAAATTTTTTTCAAGCAAAGCTGTGTTTTCATTAAAATACCATTACTATTAATAAGAAACTTTGCTATCCATCTAACACATACTCCCAATTTGAGATTTTTTTAGTGATCATCATGGTTGGGAATTTTCTTTTTCTTAATTCCATATCTCCACCCCTCTGTGATTCATACTGCCTAACTAATCATTCATACTGATGCTGTCTCTTTCTAAGGCTTACTTGTCCAGCGTCTGTAGACAGCTATCATAGACCCTCCTGTTCAATACGTGCTGAGAAATTTTGCTGCCCCCAAACTTCAGTTCCTCTAGTCATTCAATCATTTGCCTATGTCCTAATTTCATTCTATCTCCTTTTTGTCTCTCTGGTAATGTAAAAGGCAAAATTAAATAGAAACCCTGGAGCATCACATGGAATTGTTTCTGATTCTGCAAGGCAAGGCATGTGAAGAAATAGTTCCAGATTATACAGAGCACAATCAAGAGTGATGTTCAAAAGAATATACTGAATGTCAAAAACATACTTTGAAGAAGAAGATGCTGGTAAAGAATCTGAAAGAAGATAATTATGAAAGATAAAAGAAGCAGGGATGAGGGGGCTTTCAGATACAATTGTCTTCATCATTTTGAGCCTCAGAACCAGGGTTCCAAGAGTCTGCTGTGCAAGTTTCTGTATTGCAACGCTGGGCTCACTTGTGTTCTTCGCAGAGAAATAGTTATGTTAAGGAGATGGCATCTAACACTTTAGCCTGCCTTCTTACAAACTCAGACCCTTACTCCTGTGTATGTACATGCATGTGTGTGTTAATAAGAAGTGTGATTCTGTATAAATCTATTCACATGGAAAAATAAAGACTGAAGTCCTAGATATTATAACACCATTTTAAACTTACTTTTAACCAAATATTGGGGAAGTACGATTCTGAAAGACAGTCTCTTTCGAAAATGTCTGAAATAAGCTGAAGTTTCTGTGGCTTAGAACTCTGTTGGTCAAGGTAAACTGTCATTTCTGATTATAGGAAAGTAATATATTCAAATTTCAGTTCATTATGGATGGCGATAAGCAGGCTTAAAAACTGTGGGCTGAGAGGGGAGTGCTGAGCAGCAGTGTCTCTGTTGGAGACCTTTGATTGAGCAAAGCATTTCCCGATTCCTCCTTAATTCACAGAGGAATCTGTCGTTTGCAGGCAAAGAAGAAAGAGACAGCAGCAGCTATTAGGTTGACCCCTATGAAATTGCAGTTTTTAAATGTCAAAGACAGTCGAATATCAGGAATTTCATATGGTTCAACCAAGTTACTTACAAAAAAGTCAGCCCCAACCTCAACAACAGTAAAGCACATGAATACAGGGTGTATGCTTGATAAGCAAAAAGTTGCAGAAAAACTGTGAAAAGAGATTTTTTGGGGGGACAGATACTAGTAGCCCGCTTACCTCATGATGGAAGAAAACATAAAATGATTATAATTAAAAATATGAGCTTTGCTTTTAGAATATTTAAGTGTACCTTTAATAACTTTAATATCTTCAATAACTTTAATAACTCCTGCTAAGAGCAGCACTTCTGAATGTCGTTCTGTCTCTGATTTGTAATGGGGCTAGGGTTTGGGAGACAGCACTATCAAGCTGCTGATGACGAATCCCTGTGCTTTGTGTCAGCCCAGGGGGCGTCTCAGCCTCTGAGTCCTCCATCTTTCTTTTCATGGCAGTGAATATCTGATACAAAGTTGGTGCAGTTTCCTCCTCTTCCCAGGACTCATTCTGATCTGAGGCCGGAGGTAGTTGGCTAAACTCAGTCCCCCACATTAAAGTCCAAAGGTTCAAGCCCAAAGCAGTACTCGGTTTTGATGCCTGTGCGCATGCCTTGTTCATGGACCCTGGTCAGGCTCATGGGCTTCATTTCCTCCAATGTGGTATCTCCCTTGCGCCTTGTTCCTAAATGCCTTGTGGGTTGCCTTGACTAGAATTTGGATGCCCTACTGGTACAGAAATTCTGTACTCCTATTTTGCTCTTCCCATGAAACAACCTGTGCTTCCTAACCTAGGATCCACTTGCCAGCTTCCACCTGGCCAGTCTTCCACGTGTTTCTTACCTTGAAGGATTCCGTTATATGTCCACTACTTAGGATACCACCTTCCTTTTTCATTCTTCCCATCTGGCTCCAATTCCAGGAATCTGGATGATAATTTCTGATCACCAAAACACTGGGACACCAGGTCCTGCTCATTCAGCCATATTCTTGTCTTGCATCAACAGTATTTCCTTTTGTCATTCCCAAGGAGATGATTTGATTTCCGCTTCCCTCTGACTACCCTGCTCTGCTAAAATAATGGGCCATGCTCTGTCACACCTTCGAGCCAGATGGTTTGTACCATGAAGTTATCACCAAGTTGTCACAACTTGCCTAAGGGAAGCTTCCCAGTCTATGAGCAGCTGTACCCTCAGGAGGCCAGGAGGGGCCAGGACACCAGAGTCCCAAGGCCAGGCCTTCCAGCCTCCAGCAATCTCCAGGCTCTAAGTCCCCTCAAACTCAAATGCTGATCATCATTTTCTCTTTGTGACATGACATTAAAAAAGCTGGGAAGCATGACAAATTTAAGCAAAATGGCACAGACAAAATAGCCTCTCGAGTGCTGTACTTCAAAATATAAATAAATAACCTAGAAGTCAGCAACATTTCAAGAAGCGTGTCAAGTTGTTGACAACCTTTCTTGTGATCCTGAAAAGTGAAGTCACCCGAAATAGGCAAGTAGCTCCCAGGAGGAGCTCAGATGTAGGGCTACGGCCTCTTACAGCCCAGGAATTATACATACAGTTCGCCTTTAAAGAGTTCTTCTCTAAATGCCACTAGCCTACCCCTCCACGAGGCCAACTGTCTTTTATATTTTAGTCTCAAT